TCAATATATTTTGCTTTCCATTTAAATGAGACATTTTTATTCAAGAATTAAAAATTAATTTGCTATAAAAATATTGCGAATTGCGTTTACCTTCTGTATTTCTGTGTTGCTTTCCATTTTTTCTAAACGCGAATAGTCAGCTGATCAAAGTTGCCACTTTACCAGGAAACAAAAACACGAAGTAAAGTAGAGTAATTTTGCCTAAGACTGTTATTTCGAACTTGTATAGGAAACAACAACAAACAAAGTTACCACGTGGTAAAATGTTTTGAAGTTAACAGATGGCAAAATTAACACATCAGATAATATAGAACTGTGAACACCCTAAGTATGTTTCTATGAAAGTTAAGGTCATGAATCGCGATAAACGAAACTTTTAAAAAAATTACTTAAATAAATAAATATAGTGTTCATAGTGAGAACAACACAGCACAAGCACCAAATATCTCCGAATACGTTAACGGGATACGTCAGAGTTAAAAAAATCGAGTTTTGTTCTTTGAAAAATAATATGTTCAAAAATATCTTGTTAAACCTATAAGGTCGTAACTTTAATAGATTTTGAATGACAGCGTTCTAAAGAGCGACCGCTCGCAGGTATATGTAAATCGGATAGTTGGAACTTCTAACGCGTTTTTATCGAGACAACATTTTTCAAAATTTCTGACATCATAACTCAACGAGAAATTGACCGATAACTTTCTAATCGAAACTGAGTATTCTTGAATATTTTTTATTTTCATTTTTACTATACAATGACCTACGACCTTTCTGATTGGTTAAAAAATGTCATTTGGCATTAAAAGAACTATACTATTTTCTGAACTACGCCGTTGTGTTAATCGTAAGTTATTGTATTGTACCTTCAACTTTAATAACCTTTTTGAATTTCTTTTTTTACACTACTTATTCAGCAATTGGGAAACTTTTTTTGGTATCTCGGAAGACATCACATAACTCGGTTATTTTTCAATATTTTTGTAAAACCAAATCTTAATATATATATAAATAGGCAGCCACATACACACATCTACATCCATCGCCCATCTCCCATCGCCCATCCATCAACAATCTATTAGGCATACGCGACGCCAAGGTAGTGGCACAACAATATTACAGCAACAACGTGTGTGGCACGTCCGCTCTGCTGCGAGCCCGCTGGCTGCCAGCTCGCTCATTCGGCCAGCGCCTGGTGCTGGTAACAGGGTGTAATTAGAGGCTCTTATGTTGTTATCGCCATCGTATTGGATTATAGGTTTTCGCCACCAAACGAAATGTGCAGCGTAGCACTAAATGAGCAGAAGAAAAGAAAACCAAAAGCAAAAGGAGTCAAATAAAGTAAATATTAATGTAAAATTTCCCAGCGTGCCGCGTGAAGTGCAGCGAAATGAGTGTGTGAGTGCTTGAACGGGTGAAGGGGATGGTGGCGATGATGTAGTGGCGCAAGTGCATTGTGACTTGTTGGATTAAGCGGGCTGGTTATCAACTAAGTATGCCCTCGGGCTTGTGGCGGCTTGGAGTTGGCTCGGGATGTGTGCGCTGGAAAAATTTACTTAACTTCGGCCGGTAATTACGGATGGAACGGGTAGCAGGCAGTCAACTGTGTGACAAATACTTGTTAATATACTCGCATGAATATACATATACATATGCGTAGCATGAAGGCAATCCTCAAAGCACTTAATCTACAAAAACGAGGGAATTTTAAAAAAGTCGATTTATTTTCCAACATACTCTCTTTTTTTTGGGTTAAGTGTATCCAACCTAGCGATGCTCCAATTCCTTTGACTGATTTTAATCGCACGTTTTCTGCAAAATTATGTCTCTGAGGCTTCGACACAATTCTTTTACTCTCCCGCGAATGACATTTTTAAATTTCGAAAAGAAAAGTCATGAAAGGCTACTGTGTATCGGGCGGCAGATCATAGCAATTCGACGAATTTGTCATGGAGACGGTGACAGTGTGACTCGGTGCGATGTTATGGTGAAAAATCAACTTTTTCTTACCCAAATGGAGTGTTTTCAGGTAAGCGACGTAGAATTGATCCAATAAATAGAGCTTTCTGAGCGTTTTTCACTTCTCCAGATGGTCGGTGTACATAAAAATGTGTCGAAAACGGTTGATATCGTCTTTTCGATCGATGGAATAGTGTTCACTTTCGATGCATAGGGTACCCAGCGTCCACTGTCGAATGCTCCATGGCCTCTAAAACGTACCATTGAATCGTTGTTTTGTCAACGTTTTTGAAACGCTATGCTGGGAAGTGGTCTCACTGTTGCAGATACTAATTCAGAGTGAGCAACCGTGGTACCCCTTGAGCCGGCAGCTTACACACTATATATGAATTTTTCTGCTTAACATCTCAAGCCCGCAAATGGCGACTTCCAAACAGAAAATCGATGTTCGTTAAAAAAGTTTATACTTTAGAAGGGCTTAAAAATCTAAATCACTATCAAAATGGAGGATGGGTCACTGAGACTCGTAGGTCGGTATAAATGTCAGTGGGTCTATTTTTCCTCAGATATGGCCAGAGGTAGAGCTCCTCTGACGATATATCCAGGTGTAAGAGAGCTTATTGCTAAAGACCGCATCACACCTTGCTTTCCCGATTCTCCCTAAGAATATATAGTATGCTGACTACCATGTGCGCTATCGCAACAAAACTCAACTCGATTGATGTCCGTATTGAACACTTTGTAAAGACTTCGAAAAAATTAATTCACATACAAGGTAGAAAAATTGTCTATGAAATAAATTGAAATTCAAGCTTGTTTAAACAAAGAAAAAACGAGTAAGGTAGAAGCTAAGTTCAGGTGTACACGAACGGTTTTTAACCTTGCAACTTGCAAGAATCAAAATGGAAAATACCTTAAAGTACAAAACGTCAACCAGAGGATCGGACCGACATACCAGGTTGTTTAAAAAGTTTTGGCGTTTGATAACAAAAATAAAATTTTGTGATTTAAAATGCATACTATACTTTAATATTCAGTATAATATTTCTGAACATTAACATACTTGCTCCAACGATTATCCAATCTGGGGATCCCATCCATGACAAGGGGTATCCGGAAAGTCTGCAAAATACGCTTGAACAGCCGTTATAACCTCTTCATTTAATGAAAAGATCATAGTATGCCACGTATAAACATTTTAAGTTCTTGAAGCAAATAGAAGTCGCAGGTGGGCAAATCTGGATGTATGATCCAACAATTCGAACTTTAATTCATGGCTTTTTG